TCTGTGATTACTGATATACTTTGATAAACTGAATCATATCGTTGTAAGTATTAAATAACATAAATATTGTATTCATTATTTGTATTGAGTTATGGTAAAATACAATACTATTATTTTATATTACACAAACGAAATTTTACACGATTGTTATGTAGCAAAGCTTTAAATAAAAATAAAGGAAAAGTTTTTTTTCTTTTTATTTTGTTAGATATTATTTGTATTGTTTTTTTATTAGGTAAATGACAAACAAAAAAAAAAAAAAAAATTAATTCAAAAAAGTTTTAGAAAACCAGTATACCCTAATTGTACCGTTAAAAACATTTTTCGTTTTGGAAATGATCGATGTTCAAAATAGTTAGAAAGATAATGTTAGACTAATGTAAAACACATAATACCGGTAATTCAATTATTATTAAATGTATGTAAATGTTTAACGTTTCAATCGTATTACAAATATGCAATAAATCTTCGTTCGAGTATATTTCACTAAGCTGATGTGACATTGTCACGTGTAAATAAAAAATAAAAAAAGGGTTTCGGAGAATTTGATTTATATATATTTTTATAAAAACATCGTGTTTTGTACTGTCATTGTTTGATATTGTCAAAATTGATCTCTCCGGTTCATAGTACAACAAATAGGATGAAAGGATTGCAAAACGAAGTGAGGTATGGGGAGAGGTTGCGTTTTTGTGGAGCGATCGACTAGCATATTTGGTCACATGACAATTTGACCACTTTTTACTGCAATTAATCGCGGAACATCATTGCATTAATTATCATATGCCGTGATTGGGAGGTGTCATGTCATCTATGCATTCTTCAGAATAATTATTGAACATTAAAGTATAAAAATGTTTTATCATTTGTACGTTTTTTATACAAATAATGTAAATGTATACAACTATAAAATAAATATACCTGTTAATTTCGGCTATAAAAACTATAACACCACAATAATATAAAGGTATAAAATATTAGAAGATAAATATTTTCTTCGTTGTAATATATGTATACATTTTATACAATTTTGTATTTATATAATAAAACATAAATACATGATGTCAAAATTCAGTTCTAAAAAATAATTTTAATAATTAAATAATCTCAATAATTTTTTTATCATTTAAAAAATTGCATTTACCTACGTTTTTACTAAAAATTAATAGAAATTTCAAAATTTTATGAAACTCTATTTGAATAATATTTGTTAATTTGTACCTATGTATTCTTTACAAATTTTCAATCGGTTTACGTGTATTACTTCCATAAAAAAATTAACTTGTTTCCGATAACATTTTGAAGTAAACAATGATTTTTTTTTTTTTTTTTTTTGTTATTTCCAATAGTCATAACAAAAAATGATTATAAGTGCCGGATCTCACGCAAATTTAACACTCAAATAAATATTATATAATGAGTGAACTGATGAGGTGCTTAATGATTCTGTCGTTCAGTGTAGAAATTCAATCGATATGGTCTAATAAAATATATCATACTTTCAGAATAATACTAATTATATTGTTTTTAATGAACTACATTAAAACATTTTTATTAGTTCTCACTAAGTGTAGGAAGCTAGCAATAACAGTGTAAACAATTCCCCATTATTACTGCCTTATTTTGAATTATTCAAATTTAACTTATTTATTCAATAAAACTATCGATAAATATTTCACAAGTTTGCTGTAAAAATAATTTTTAAGTTTTTCAAATAGATATTTCTTTATTTATAAGTATTACCTTTTTAAATAAAATTGTTAAATTTTTCAAATAAACCGTAGAAGGTAATGTAGAAGGCAAATTATTTCGAAGGTTAAGTTTAATGTTGCAAATGACACGTTTAATTTACGAAACACTCAAATTATTGTTCCATAGTTATGTAATCCGTATTTAATAATACATGTCAAATATCATAGATATCATTATAATATTACACACGTTAAATTAAATTATACAAAAAATTCCAACTGCTTTTTGGAAAAAATACAATCAACTGTAGTATTTCAATTTAATTTTAATGTGGATGAATTTAAAATACTCTATTATTAAAAATATATACAGCGAAAAAGTTACTTACTAACCGCTTGAAGAACTGGAATTTTTGGAACTCAGTCACTCAAACTAATAAAATACATAATATTTAGCAAAGAAATATATGAATATTTATTGAAATATTAAGATATTGTTGAGTGCTAATATCAGATCCAGATCCAAGGTGTTATTAAAATGAATTGTACAACTTTTAATTACAATAATGTTTAATCTGTATAAATAAAATACATGTAACTGATATAAGAAGTGGCTGAGTGTCGTGAAGTTGCTCTGTTCTTCGTAGCTCTGGTACATCTGCCCTTGTTGGTCTTCGGACTCCCTTATATACAAGAAAATCTATTGTTGTTGTAATCGTCAACCTTCCAATTTAGATTAATTCTTGGAATTGTTTTCACATTTGAAACAACAATCTCCAGGATGTTATCGTCTTACTGGCAATTCTTGTAAATGCAAAACGACCTCGCCTAATAACTACTATTTTGATATATTACAATGTTTTTACAAAATATGAATCTAATATTCGTATACATTATAATTATTAGATCACATATATATTTAGATCACTATTACTAACACCTATAGCAATATTACACATTATATTATATATTAGCATATCTCGTAGCTCATGAATATTATATTATATTATATTTATATTATTAGTATATCTCGTAGCCCATAACAATATTAAGATAACTAATCTTAGCAGGTTACAATTTTAATGTTAACGATCAAGCTACAGATTAAATGAGTTTTTTTCAAATTTATTTACAATGAAATAATAAAGATTTCTATACACTGAGCATTTTTTGTAATTTGTCAGATGATTTCCCTAGCAAAATGCACATTTTGGTAGAGCTAAGCGGAAATATTGGTATACAGAAGACTGATGATATGCGCTTTATTGAATATAGCGTAATGGATAATCACAATATGTTTTAGTATGTCCATATTCCTGACAGTTGTTGTATTAACCATAAGATTTGGATTTATAAAGTTTCTTGACATTAATTTTAGTGTGTAGTAAGGAAGAAAATTGAAATATTTCGTTAGATTAGGGATTGACTACAAATCAACAAAGAAATAAGATAGCTGTAACTTGGTGGTTCTATAGAGGAAATTTGTTACTTGTCTGATTTCAGAGGGTCTAACTACAATTTTTTCTTTAATTGTTTTGAAGTTTGAAGTTGGATGTATGTATTATATAACAACATGGATAGTTTTATCTTCTGAAAGCTGATATGTGTGAAATTTAACTTTTTAGTCATTTAAATAATAAATATGAGTTCTGTAGAATTTTGGTTTTATCAGTCGTCAGAATCTTTACAGAAAAAATTATCGATTCCTAATAATTCTATAAGAACTTATAATAGGTGTAATACTTGTAAGAATATACTTGTAAGAAAAGGATAAAGTAGGTTTATTAAGACTATCGTATACATATTTCGATCCAAGGACGACAGGTTATGGCTAAAGTCGTTTTCTTAATTGAAAATGTCTAAACAATTTATTAATTTACACGGTTTGGTTTTTTTGTGAATTTTCACTTGCTTGTGAGCTGAATTGCAGAAATTTACGTTTGTGAGGAGGTAGACAGTATTCTTTAATTAAAAAATAAATAAAAGCTTTTATTTGAAGTCGTATACATGTTCATGTTATCAAGTATAAAATCATTGATGTGAGTAATTAAACTGTGCGATTTTTTTGGAGATGGTTATTTTACATTTGCCAGATTTTTGATTAAGAATTGCTAATGATTTTGCATTTTGATGTAAACTTACTGTAACAATAGTTTATTTGAATGAGACCGTCGGTTATTTAATAGCGCTGTTGTAACAAGATAACAGATTAAAATAATAAAAAAAAAAAACTTTTGAACATATGAATATATTAATTTTGACGTAGTAAGAAACTGAATTAAAGTATAAAGTACAGATGTAAAAATTGTATCACTAGCACTTCCATTTTTAATTTTTATCTCAATGTTGCCAATGAGTGGGCTAATTTAGGAACGAGGGCTCACAGATATAAGTGCGTATCAAGCAGCTTCTACAGCGGAACTAAAAAATAAATTAATTTAAATTTTGTTCATTTATGACGCTAAAAATAAAAATAATTTCGATATATATCATACAAAGAATAAAAATTAGTTGAAAATCAATTTTATTGTAAAATTAAATGAAATAATACAAATAGAGGAAATAATTTTGAGTAAAAACCACGTATATGCACGTATAAACATGTACGTGAATGTGATATAATATTGCTATTATGCCAGTATAAAATAGGAGCAAATTATTCAACTTTTTAGTACTATACATATTATGGATGGTGGGTTTAACAAACCAGAAAACCAGAAATGTGTCTAGACTTGCTATGAAGAATCGCGCCGAGTTTGTGACGAGACATATATTCATATACAGTACATGTAGAAACTTATGAATCTCACTTTTATACTTTACATGAAACTTAAATTTACTTCTCATATAAACCCTGCACATAAGACTTCACATTTATTATCTAATCTAAACCAACGTTGAACTCGCATTTGTCTTATTTAAACTCGTTCAATAAATAATACACAAGTTTAGAATACATTTTCTTTTTTTTTTATTATTTAAGTTTATTAATTATAAGTTTATGAATACAAACACCTCTCTTCAATATATAAAATATTTTAGTTTTAAACGCTTTAAAACACTCTAAGAAATCAGTATATTTTTTTTTTTTTTTTTTTAATAAGTTTTATAAAAAATGTCTCAATAAACATGATAAATATTTTAATATTTATCTGATAACAATATTTAGAAAATATTTTTAGTCAATGAAAAATCGTATGATTCATATATTATTGACTAAAAAATCTAATGCAACATTAACAGAAAATACTATGTTTGAAACAAAAATATAATATAATATTGAAATTAATTTTATTATTTTTATTGCAGGGATTCAGGGATTGGCGTTGTATCTAGAACGAATTAGCAGTGACTCTGAAAATAGTAGTAACAACTTTTGAAGACAATTATTGAAAATACGTACGGTTTTTGGTAAACGCTAAAACCTTTATAACTAAGGTACAAAATAACCTTATACCGCAGTGTAACAAAAAGTGGCGTTCGGTATGTCAGCGTACGACCACAGAGGCATCCTATACCGTACGTGATCGCCGCGAGTGTCCGCCGGTATGGTGAAACAGCCGATGATCAAATACAATACTCTGATTATTCCACAAACGCCTAGTATACCGCGACCGCGGTCATGGAATATGGTGACAACGTGTTCAACCACACCCCCGCGTCAGTCGTTACGTCACTCGATCACCGGAACTCACTGTACCGGTTGAACGCTATGGACAACGGCACCGACCCCACGGTCCAACAGGTATTGTGAAATAGATAGTGTGTATATTTCTAATTTATCTTGCGCATCATCACATATGATATAATGGAATAAAAATAAGGTGACAAAATTATGATAGTGAAAATAGTAAGTAGCTGAAATAGTTATAACGCATAAATATATGGATAAGATGTGAATACGAAAAAATAGGACGTCAAATTTAATGTAATGTCAGTTATATGACCGGGAGTCTAACGATATTCTATAATAGGGTCTTATTGTATGTTGGTATTAGGTGTCAGGATAATATTCTTATATTTTACTTCTATTTGTGGTGTATAGTATTATATGTATAGAGCTGAAAAAGTGATGTATGTGTGTGTAAGAGAATTTAATTTATACTGTGTATACTCTATTATATGAAATTTGCAAGAACTTTTCTACGTGTGTTGGAACTTGAGCAATAGTTTTTTTTCTTTTTTAAAGCAATCTTATATTTATTACTTAAATACGTCTTAAGGTAGAGCTGAGAGATGCATACTACACATTAAGTGTATGACACGGTAACATTTTTTCGCGTAATGTATACGTGTACATTTATATACTAAATCAAAACAACAAAACTCATTAATAAAAATTTAAAATTAAATGAAGGTCTAGATTATCATTGATATTCAACCACTGTCATATAATAATTTACTTTGTTAAATATATGGTAATAAGATTGCATTTATTTTTATCTAATGAATAAACTAAAAGCTTCTTCCTACACAGTTCAACCTAGATAATAACGTATATCTGTAGGTGAAGTATATTTTGGTCTCAATAATATAATTACAGTTGGTCGGTATTTAAGTAAAAAGATAATATATTTAATTTATATATTTTTTTAAATAAATCGAACTATAATATTCAATAAAAACATACATAATTTTCTAACTCACTAGAAATAAGAGTTATAAAACGGTGATTAATTTGTAAATTAAGCTTAGATCGCAATGTGATTTCTTAATTTTTTTTTAAGGTAAGCATCTATTAAACTAACTGAGAAATGTAAGATAGTATACTATTTGGATGAAATACTAAAACTTTTTTTAGGCACCAATCACTATGACTAAATACTTAACCTTGTTTCAAAAATAAAAAATACTTCGATCGGATAAAATCACTGTAACGCCGGGTGGTTTGAAGGGTTTATAATATAATATCGCGTCGTCGTCATCGTGCGCGTAATAACCATATTTGCCAGTCATTTTATCTTTCCCATGGTGGTGGTTACCCAGGCCGACCGTAATAAACCTCCCAAGGGTATTATTTAATAACTTAGCGCTGGTTGCATAGCGATTTAAGCACGAAACCCTATCTTATAGGTATACTATTACGATATAATAATTATTGTCTCCAAATTTATCTGTTTTAAATGACCGCTCCGAATAATCGATAAGAAATACGCTGATATTAATAAAAAAAAATCAAAAGACACAAAATTTGCGAAATGTCTAAAAAAGAACCCATTATTGTGTCGCATATTATTATGTTATAGCGATTGCGATTATCTCATATCGACCGTACGCGACGTGCACGCTCACTTGCCCGGAAGTTAAGCGATAAGGCACGCGTGGCATTATAAACGTCAGCCTTTGGTTCAATACGATACCGGGTAATGTTTCGTACCTACAACTGAGTTTGAAAGCGTATCAGATGTTTGATATAATTTGGTTTTTATAGTTCAGTACAGAATTATTCACAACCCTGATACCTAGGTCTCGTATAAAATAAATAATAATTTAAATGTCTATGTTATATTTTATAACAACTTTTCAAATAGACCAGACGTAAAAACTTGATTTAATCGTCTGTCTTTTTGTGAGGTGTACGAAAGACTTTCGATTTATCTACACAGAGAAAATCTTGTGGTATAATATTATAGTTTCTATGTATGTTTAAAAGTTCTATCTATAAATAATGACATTTTGAATTTATCCAAAAACGTTAGATCGCTTTCAAAGGGAGAATAATAATTATTTTTGCATGTACATGAATTTTCAATTTATGTAACTATTTATATTTTTATATACGTGAAAAATAAAAATAAAAATAATGTTTTAATTTTGTCCATGTAAAGGGAAGTTAAATAGTGATAACTCGTATCCCAATTTCCTAAAACAATATATGTACACATAATATACTTATTTTATCTTTGTACCTTATTATTATTGTAAAATATTTTAATTTTGGAAATATAATGTTAATTGATGACTTAGTGAATACATTTTGAAATTTAGCCACTCTTTGATCCTCCATTGGAGACAGCCTTTAATTACTAAAAGCTAACAATAAAATATCATACTACCATTTTTATTTAAAATACATTACAAATTACTTTTTAAACTTTATCCAACGGCCACTCACTAAAACTGTATAAAGTAGCATTAAACCATTTTGTCCAGTGAATTTAATAATGTATTTATTAAATGATAAATTAAATATATATTCATAATATTATTTTATACGTGTATTGTGAAGTGTTTGGCAAATGACATTATTTATTGATTCCAATATAACATGGTGCTTATAAACGAAAATAAGTTAAACGTTTCTTACATGGTTATCTTCACCGTGCGTATTATATGTATATTTGTATGAAGAGTTTATATATTATACAATGTTTAACCACACTAAACCTATTTTACTTAAGAGGAAATACAGTTTATAAAAGCATAAATATTATGAAACGGTATAGTAATGTGCATTTTAGTGTAGTTTTATAATTATTGATGACATTATTCCTGACATGAGGTTTCAGTGATAGATATATACTAAACAGGAAAGTGCGAAAGGATTTTTAAATTCAATTTTATATGAAACTTAGTTATACCAAGCATAATTTAACGTAATGTAAAAATAAAATGTTAATAATATAATATATATTTATTTAACTGATAAAATGGTGCTATTTCGCACATGCAATAATTGTGGCTGGAAAGATTGTTTACAATAAATGTATGTAGTGAAATAATTATAAAAAAATAGTTAGATGTGGTGTGATTCCGTGATAATACAAAATAAAATATGTAAGTTTACATATTACAGGAACTTAAAATTTCGTTTAATAAAAATATTGAGCACTATATTAGTAGTTACACGATTCTCATTTTTCACATACAACTTGTAATCACCTGTTTATGCATTATTTTGAAACTAAAATATAATGGAGTACCGTATTATTAATTCTCATCACTATATTTACTTAATTAGTGGCTTCCACTTAAGTTAATAAATTACTATCGTGAAGTGAACCAAATACTAACCAATACAACCCACCAATAAATACATAATATCAATATTGTAATTATATTATTTTATCAAACATATACTAAAAAAAAAAAAAAAAACGTTGTGCAAATTAATTCATACAACATTATCCTGGATAGCACACAAATTAAATACAAAATTACGTATTGAATGAGAAAAAATACGTTTCATCAGATTTTCCGGCATAACGAACAAGCGGGAGATACTAAGAGTACCTAAAAATATAAATTATTTTAAATACAAACTAAAATCGTTCTTTTAATTTTATAATTAAAAAAAAAAAAAAACATTATTTTATAGACACAATTAAAATGGTTATCAATAAACAACAAATGATATAGTTTCATGTATTCAATTAAACAATGTTAAAACATTTTAACAACGAACGATATTTAAAAACATAAACTTATATGTTATTTTAAATTCTAGTTAATAGTAATATACTAATAATGATGTAATTTAAGTAGTATTATCACTGTTGATCTTATATGAGAAAGTGACGTCAGTGATTCGATTATTAATACCAGATGATACATTTAACGTAAGAAACTCATTATTTAAGCTTTAATATTTTTACATAATTTTAGATCGTTAAACAACATATTTCTAAAAAAAAAAAAAAAAAATTATAAATATTAATTTGATTATTTCAAAACAAAATATTTTTTTTTTGAGTACTTCAAAAAGTATAAATGAAATCAGTATAAATGGTCAAGTAGCTAAAAATTATAAGTATTCTAGTTTAGTTGAACGGAATGGAGTATTAAAAATTTACTATATAAGTACGCCATAATATGTTAGTCCACTTTTCCGCTTATCAAAACTTTAAACATTAACTTATAAGTTATAAAAAATAAACTATTTATCAGAAATTGTATTTTTTTTAAATCGAATCGAAATATTTCGGTTAATATTTTGCTTTAAAATATAAAATTTTAAATGTAAGTTATTATATTTAATGGAGTAAATAATTTAAAAATTATAGTATATTTTCTCCCGAAATTGTTGTTTATAAATGACTTAAAATATTTTTATTTTTTTTAATATTTTTTTTTTTTTAAAACGTTAGTATTTTCTGAAATATTAGTGTCTAACTGGATATTTTGTATTACCATATACCAAAGAAAAATAAAACATAGTTGTTATAGGGTTTTAAATTGAAATACTGAACGTTTATAACATATTGAGTACTTTAACGATTAATGAGGTATTTTAATTGCAACGAGATTCATCATAAGTTCAAGACAAAATAATGTTAAATCATTATCAACATGAATATCTTAAGTACTTTAAATGCTTGATATCATTAATCAGTAATCAGTAATCAGTAATCACACTAAATAATGTTATGCACACTTCTTTTCTTATAAGGAAACACTGTTTATTATATCAGCCATTATACAATATTATGCATAGATTATTTTGTTTGTAAGACATTGTTTTTCTTAAGGCTTTAAAAAATTACATATGTAATAACGTATCATAAATAATTTTTGTGTACATATTTTAATAAAGCTTGACAAATTGAATAATAAAAGCATGAGCTAGCGCCATTTGGGTTATTATACTCTAAGCGTTTGAGCCACCACACCCTATGATCCTAGGGTAAGTCTTTCGGCACAGAATTTCCATGAAACGATTATGAGATTTTTTAGTATTATTTTCTCATAAATCACAAATATACGTATAGAAGAATCTTTAAAAAATCGGTGCAGTAAATTAATTTTTAGATATTATGTTATGACAGCATATTGGAAAATATTATATTACTTATAAGAAACTATTATACTATAAAACTAATTATCTTTTAAATAGTCATAATAGTATTGTCCTGTATTGTCGATAGATATAGATAGCCATAGGCTAGGAATGTATTATTTTATAAAAATATATAAAAAAAAAAAAAAAAAACTATTTAATTTACATCGAACAACATTATAGTTGTTGTGCATATAATAATATTATGTAAATAACTATTATCTTTGTTTATATTTTCAATTTATTGAATAAGTTTTGAACCGTAATCTGCTAATACCTATAAATAGACTATAACAACTACGAAGATTAATCGGCGTTAACCGCTTGGGTTGATGTGATTAATAAAAATGTATAGACTCTAGTTTACAGTAGAAAAATATTTTAATTGTTCATAATATTATTTATTATCACTAAGTTTCTAAGTATATCTGTAGCGCGTTTTGGATTTATTAAGGATCTCCACGCTTAGGATACGCTAGAAACTATCGTATAAGTCAGGGATGGGCAACTCAAAGTTACTATAGGGCAAAAAAAAAAAAAGGTCATTCAAAATATACATTTTGAATAGCATTTTATTTTGTATATAATGAAAATAGGTTAAAATTGTATACCTATACCTAATGCAATTTGAAAATGTAGCGCGGGCTAGATAAAAAAGGCTCGCGGGCCACCAGTTGCCCACCCATGGTATAAGTAGTTCAGTCTCAGATTTAGAATTCTATTTATGATGGAATTCTGTCCGATAATATAGCCATTTAGGATTCTTATATTGTTATTTTATTTACGTCATTCATTACTAATAATACGAAATAAATACAGCGTAATGAGGTGATTTAATTCATACATAAAAATAAATCAGTGGTATAGTCGATAAATTGGTATTCCGGAACGGAATAAAATTATTCCGTAAATTATTATTTTACTAAAGTAATAAAAAAAATGCAAAAAAAAAAATAAAATAAATTACAATAAATTACGAGTGTATGTAGGTAGTTAGTTATTAATAGTAATATTATCGTTTAGCGCTGAATGCTAAATTTGTAAAATGGAAAGAAAAATATTATTTTTTGGGCTATCAAATTATTGGAATGTTTATAGCTTTTTACCTTTTTAGCTGAACGATTTTAAAGAACTTTTAAAATGCACAAACCACGCTTACCCTAAAAATGAATAGATTGAAAATAAATTTACAAAAACTTTGTCATATTTTAATTAGTTACCGAACACACTGAACCCTGTGTATTTTTTAAACTAAAAGTTAATATATATATATGTATACATTTATAATTATAACGCGTGATATAAATGATCAAAGTCATAGTCATAAACTATAATATTTATAACCGTATAAGAAATATGGATACATAAATAATAGGTCAATGATTAATGAGTTGATTTTTTTATCTTAAATTCAATTAATTTTTATTGTTTATTATTTTGTATTATTTTTTTTTATCTTGTCTTATCGTATTGTTACCTATAAACACTAATCTTCGATTTATTTATCAATAAAAAAATGTAGAGCACAGATGTATTTAATCTAATTTTCTAAATTATCAAATACATTGTATGCATTTTGAAGTGGATTTTTACTATAAATCTGGGACTCGTTCCAAATATTATCGTGGTCAATCGTTCAAATATTGAGCAATAGTAACTTCGGAAAGACAATAAATATAATTTGAGCTTTTACTTGAAATAATGGTTTCAGTCGTAATTTTTACCCGTTCTTCAGACTGAATTTGATGTAAGTTTGGGTCGACGGGACTCAACCGGGGTTAAACGTCCTCACCACGATACTCTCCTATAACCCCTATCCGCCCTGGTCAGTGTACCCATACCTCTTATAAAATAATAATAATAATAATAATAATAATTATAATTATAATGGTAATACATACTAAAAATAGCGACGTGATCATGTGCAGGTGACCGGCGACATGATGGACTGGTCCGATTACGTGTCGGTAGCGCTGAAAACGTCGATCATGGCCATCATTATACTGACGTCGATTGGCGGCAACCTGCTGGTGATCGTGTCCGTGGCCCGTCATCCCCGGCTGCGGGTGATCACCAACTACTTCGTCGTGTCGCTGGCGTTTGCCGACATGCTGGTGGCCATCGTGGCGATGACGTTCAACGCCAGCAAGCTGATCAGCGGCAAATGGATTTTCGGGTACTTCATGTGCGACGTGTGGAACTCGAGCGACGTATACTTCTCCACCGCGTCCATACTTCACTTGTGCTGCATCAGCGTGGACCGGTATTACGCCATCGTCAAGCCGCTCAAGTATCCGGTGCTGGTCACCAAGCGGCTGGTGGCGTTCCTGCTGCTCGTCACGTGGGTGGCGCCGGGCATCATCGCGTTCGTGCCGATCTTCTACGGTTGGTACACCACCGACGAGTATCTGGCCTACCGGATGGCACATCCGGACGACTGCGACTGGGTGGTGAGTGTTATAAAACGTAGATATATTGATAATCAAATTTGACGGGGAAAGGAGTATAATTAATTAGTTAAGTGATTATATTTATTAATAAACCGTCCAGCCGTTAAATATTATATTAATTAACTTACTAGTTTAATTTATTCTAGAATTACCTTAGTTTTTTAATTTCAATTTATTTTAAAATATAATCCATTCGATTATCGTCAAAAATATTTTTGAAATTGTCGATTTTATTCGTTTTTATATACATCAGCTATTAGCTTTACTCGGTTTTAAATAAAAATAATCTAAAACAGGTATACAATAATGTTTTTCATGTTTTTTTTTTTGATAAAATTATATTTTGTATACTAGGGGGTAAAAACGCTCTTTTTGTGCTCCACTAATCAAAAAATAAGATTTTATTTTTGAATTGAATTTAATAAATATATTTATTTTTTCTCACAATAACTTTAAACTTAGTAAATCAAATATATTATTTATTAACTATTAACTTGCAAATTGATTATCTTGTGCTCACTTATATCAACTTGAGTTAATTATTTACATTTATTTTCTGACTTTTTATTTTATATTTTCCATGGGTTTAATAGTTGCAGGATATACATTTTAGTAAATATATTTTTGTTTATAAAATCAGCTGATAATATATCGTATAATCAGTTATAACTAGTTGGCGGGCTTTACAAAAAATGAGTCAGATACATTGTAGGTTGATACAATTCACAGATCTAGTTTATAAACTGCATAAGCAAATGTTCAATAATTATTGCTTAGATATGCTGATATTTTTGAACACACGAAAAATTAACTAATATTTGTCAAAGATAGCCTAATTTCAATCCAAAAAAATAACAATTTTACCAAATTATATATATATTTTTTTAAATTTAATTTATGAGTATAGTAATTCAAATAAATAATTGTTATAATAATGTATAACAATTTCAATTTTTACTCCTTTTTACGAATAAACCTATTTCACTATAATAATTTTCATGATTAATGTTTTTTTTTTTTTTGAAGATAATTGCATGTAACTTAGGTTTTACAGAAATCGTTTTATTGAAAAACATGTTTGAAAAAATTGAATAATGAATATAGAACAGATTTAGAACGATTTAAAAGTTATTGGACAACTGTTATAAAATCATTTTTGCATTTTATGGGTAATTTAGAATAATGGTATAATATAATTCCGTAAATTATTTAAGGCCTGTTAAAATTATATAACTGACCAGTAACTAAACAACGTGTATACAAAGGGTAAACCTAATTATAAGTGCATTGATATTATGCATTGTAAAAGTTGTAGAATAGGGTTAAACCTGATTAATTACAACCAGAGAATTTTTTTTATATTATTTTTTTTGAATAAGACCGTTTCAAATATAACTTTAGAAAAATATTTATAAGTTAACTATTTATTTTTTTAAGTACTGATTGACAGTAATAATGTACACATAATTGTTTTAATTTTAAGTGTTTTACGCCGTATATGACACATTATATTGTATAATATATTTGCATGCAACTAAACTAAAAGTTGTTCTCGTGTATTTTTTTTCTTTTTTATTTGTGCAGGGTCGTTTATATGATAAATCCTTTTCATGGTTTTAACTAACAATTTTACACTTCAAATCCACACACTGTAATATTACTATTGTTATATTATAATTATGATACTAAAAATCATTAATTATAAAAAATAAAAATGAACTTAAAATACCAATTTAATGCCATTTTTATATAATATACAAATAACAAACATTTGAATCACATAATTTTAAGAATCTTTTTGAACGAATTACAATTATGTATGTTAGTTTTTCAAGTTTTATACTTTTATCTCTATCAAATTCTTGTTCTCGGCAAATGAATATTTTTATTTTTTTTTTTTTTTGGTTAGGCACAACTTTTGTAGCATAAACAAAGTATCAAATACACAACTGGTGTATGTTGAATTTATCTAATGGACAAAATTTGTTAATTTAAAACAAAGCTTGAATATAATGCCTCGTTTGCTACAGTTAACTATAGTAAAACAATAACTATTACGATTGCGTATCCAACGCCGTAGGTGTTTTTTACTCTCTTGTTATCATTGCTTACAGTTATAAAGTGATATATTTTTGCATTAACATTTTCATATATATATATATGAAAACGTGTGTATGTATATAATTATTATACGTTTTATAAAACTTCTAAAAATTTCCAAGATACAAAACTAAATTTAAAAAAAAAAAAACGTTAATTACAATTAGATACCTATTAAGAATATTATAAAAATATTTAAATATGACCAAAAATAAAGTATAAAAGTTTTTCTTTATTATTTTTTTTTTTTTTTCAGTCATAAATGAGAGGCCGTATATTGTTTTTAAAAACTGTATTATTAGTTTGAAATAACAATAAATATTTAAAACTCTAATATATTTTGGGTTTTTATAAACGTAGCCACTTATTTACTTTTATATATGAATTGTTTATACTGTATAAAAAAAAAATAAATACAATTTATTCAACAATTAGTATAAGATATTTTGGCTACTTAGCTACAGAATTCCATTCAAAGTCAACAGTCTGTTAAAAATTAAAATACCTTTATGATCTTAGTAAACAAACAATTAAAAGATATTGGTTTACGAATTAACTAAAAAACTAGCTAGTACAATATTATAAATAACTACGTGAATAATATAATTTTTTTGATTTCTGTACAATACACTAAACAAGAAATAATTATATAAATATATAATATATATTTATTTCTTTCATAGTGCTTTTAGAAAATTATAAACTTAATTAACAACTAATGTTTCGAATAAATAAAACTTATCTATTCCTCATTTCTGTCACGTTTATAATTTTAATGAATATAAATTCTTTTTACGGAGTTGTTATGGAAAATTAATTATTATTAATACTTCTAAATTCTTAAAATATAGTTTTGAAACTAGAACAATCTAGTTCAATAATTAATATAACACAACGAACATTACTCAGAGCTCTTTGGAATTAAAGGGAACTTAAATAAATGAATGACACGCATGTCAATCTTTTTAATATCAATGGATAATGCAAAGATAGTGCTTATATAATGATATAATACTTTCAGGGAACAAAATAAATACACTGCACTGTTCAAAATTGATATCTATGCATAGACAGTGTTATGAGTAAAACCGAATACAAAACAGACAAAAGACTCATGTCACTATAGAACTGTGCTAAAATAAATGCATAGGAAACAATGTCTCACGAAATAGCTTTGTAAAGTTTTGAATTCCATGCAATTTCAGTTTGTTTTGTTCTATTGTGTATTTTAATTACGTGGTTTTACGTAAAAAAAAAAAAGAGACAAATATATTAATTGTTTAAGTGAAGCAGAAAAATTAAAAATTCTACAACTATGCATTAGCAATCACTCGCACATTTGTATTTTATTTCATATAATATACACCATAATCAAGTAATAAATTATTCGTTGGCTAAAATAATATATTATTGTGTATTGAGTTATTTTAGCATATATTTTGATAAAAAAATAATATTTCTTTTAATTTATAAATATATTTGTTTCGTTTTTCAAAAAAAAAAAATATATATTCATATTATTTTAAGTACCTATCCTAGAATTTACAAGAATTAGTTTATTTTAAACAAATAAATGTAATTGGATTTTCATAGCCGACGGCAAATTCTATCAAAGTGTTCGAAGAATATATTTATTTTTTTTTTAAACAACATAAGGTATAAAATTATTTTATATTTCACAGCTTATAATAACATGGATTTATTTTTATTTTAAGTTTCTATAATATATGTATAGAACGATTTACCAAGCATGTCAACATTCATTTTTCCTTTATGAATTAATTTATTAAAAATACTGAAAAAAGAGGTTTTTTATTTCGTGTAATCGTCTTAATACATTAATCAATTAAAGTAGTTATTTATTAATTGAAAATAAAACCTATTTATGGGTCTTATTGATTTATTGATTGCATTAACTGTTTTACACACATTAAATCAATTATTAATTATTTTTTTATATATAGACTTGTTGTTACTCTTGTCACGCATAATATAACCAAATGTTTTTATTTCATCTGAAGTTGCTGTACTGTTTTTTGAAAAATATTAAATTATTTATATTTTATGCATATAAACAATATTTCAACTGTGCTAAAGCGTATATAAGAATACCTAACGACTTTGTCGTAAACATAGAATACTAGTAAATATTTGAAGTCCACTAGTGGTTGTACTTGTTATTTACTTATGTGTTTTTTCCAAATTCATTATTGAGCTGGCGGAGCTACCCGTTTCCGTGTATTGATATCAATGATATGTTGTGACTCTGGTACCAGTATTTTTTACTTTAAAACGTAATTATAAAATAGCAAACAGAATATTATCACAACCTTGAAAAAAAGATCCTTAAATCACCTCTTATCCTTGATTGTTTAGAAAGCTAAGATTTTAAAAAAACAACTCGTAATAAGTATTAATAAATTCTATGAGGTCATTAACTTTCATACAATACAAAACGTTTTTTAATATATTTCCGTTTTTCAAATGTCCGTGTGTTGTATAGCAGCACAGTTGTTGTTTAATCTGCTTTCTTCTTATCATACTCTAAAGTTACATTCAATTAAAATAATCGATTAAACGAATTGTGTATTTCCTTTTTAAAATCATCAGTAACAAACCGTTCGTCCGTTTTTTAGGTGAATAAAGTGTACGTGATCGTGTCGTCGTCCATATCATTTTGGATACCCTGCACTATCATGTTATTTACGTACCACGCAATATTTAAAGAGGCGAACCGTCAAGAAAAACAGATACACGCAAGGATAAGTTGTGGTCAGCAGATAAACTACAACAGAGAGCTGGCCGAAAACCAGCTGCGATCGAACGGCGCGGCAAACGGGTCGTCGTCCAGGACTACGCTGGCGCCCAACGATCACCACTCGACTCCTTCCCGGGACAATAGGAACATCATCAAAATGAAACGGGAGCACAAGGCGGCCAGGACGCTAGGCATCATCATGGGCACGTTTATCGTTTGCTGGCTTCCCTTCTTTTTGTGGTGAGTTTTATTGCTGTTTATGTAGAAATAATATTGTCTAACATTATATTGCAAACATAAAATAACTTATCATATGCTAAAACTCAATTTTTCAGGATATATAAAATCTATCAAAATTCTAGTCAATAATTGATAGAAATGCATTTAAAATGTACATACAATTTTATTTTAAAAAACTTTGATTCAAAATTATGTATCTGTGAAAGTATTGTGAAAATTGAAAATGTTTTATCATTTTAGAGGTTTTATTGGTTTATGTTTTTTTAACAAAGTGGCAAAGGAGGATTTTTATTATTTTTCTTTAGTTTTACGATAAAGAATTATTTTTTTCTGAATATAGAGACGCATCAAAATATTAAGATCTTAATTTGGTATATGGTAGGCTTTTTCGTGTCAACGACGGGATGCAGTTTATAGCAAATAAAGCATCCAATTTTAGAGATTAGCATTTTATTCCACTTACTAAAACATAACATAATATAAATTCAAGTACATAAAACAAATTGTTTTAAAACAATTTCAACTTATAATGAGCTAATTAAAAACAAATTATCAAAACGCTCTACCTATAACCAGCTAGTTGTCGTATTTAACATAATGTATATATATATAAATCACTGAAATAATAACTTTAAATTGAAATACATTTTAAAGTAACTATTTTTAAATACTTAATTCTTCTATTTTTATATACCTCATCTTTTTTAATATCATAAGTTACAAAATATTTAATTTTTGCTGAGAAATATCTCACATGACATCGTCTTTCATCATGTTTATATTTTCGTTTGAAATTCTATATTTTAAAACAATATAATAAAGTGATTTAAGCGATGCCATAAAATATGCACACCTTTTAATAATATGATGAAATTATTGTTATATGTATACTGTATAGTTATGAGTACAGATAAAGCCGGGATTTTATTCTGAAACAGGGCTTGCAAACGTTTTAATACCGTTATGATTATAACGTTATATTTGACAAAAACGATTGAAATTTGTAAACGTAATTATAACAGAGAACGATAAACATAGATAATTAATAACACAAAACAAAACATAAAGATTAACAAAATATATAATATATCATCAAACAAAACATTACGCAAAACTGTGTATATAGTATATTAGTATATCATAAAAAAAAAAAAATTAAATTAAATAATTTAATTAATAAATTATAAAATATAATAAAAATGCAATAACGATAAATGCAAAAGTTGAATTACGTTTTAATTCTGAATAACGATAAATGCAAAAGTTGAATAACGTTTAAATTCTGAATAATGATAAACTTAAAATTTGTATAAAGTTTTAAATGTAAATAACATGTAGCAAATTTTTTTTTTCAAATGCAATTCTTGTTCTGAAAGTATATTTTTCATATAATAATTTCATAATCTTTTCATGAGAATAAGTTGTGTAACAAATGTATGAATTATTTTCACAGCTTTATTATTGTTCAGTATTAAAATAATTCATTGGCATAAATTTATATATTTTAAGTGATTCCAAAACATCTACTGCAAAAATCTCCTCAATAAATTAATATTTCCTATTATAGCTAAAAAAAAAAAAAAAAATATCTGAAACTTAAAAAGAAAATTACTATTATTTAAACGAACGACTTCAGTATTTATGTATTAAAAGTATAAAAGTATAATGTCAACTCAATAAAATAATTTTCCGTGTACATCAACCACTAAGTCAGTCTTTTCTATAAGAATATCCAATTATTTCTTGTCCTAAAACTTCAACTATGATGATAATGAGTGTTTTTGTCCAAGTACGTTTCAAAGCTATTGTAACTATTATAAAAGCAATTATTTTGAATTCGCAACAATATAATATTATAGTTATCGTACAAATGAGATTAAAATACTAAACCGAAATAGCGTTTAATAGAAGACTAACCTTTTAGAAATAAAATATATCAGTCATATTATAGGAAAAATTTTATTTTGAATTACATGTACTGGTAGTAAGATATATTAGAATTTGTTTTTGATAGTGGGTCATACTAGTAATTTCGTACTTTAAATGAGCATATAAATTTTTAGCATATATTATCATTTTATATGAAATATTGATATTTAAATAAATGTTTAATTTTTTTCTAAAAATATTTATTCCTTTTCTATTTCATTACATTACTTGATTAAATTGAAGATTTTCAATTAATGAGCAAAATGTTATCTTTATTTGTATTTATCTTTATTTAAAGAATTTCTTTCAAAAAAAAATAAATAAATAAACGAAACTCAATTACATATTAACCACATTTTGAACTCCAGCAGAACAGTTTTCTTTTATTGAATATGATAACAAGAACAAAAATTAGATACATACTTAATTTTTTTTTTCATTAATTAATATTTTGGTTAAACGTAATTATTTATGTTTATATGCAAATGCATTTTTTGTTCAAATTTTAGTATATTTTTTGTTTTTATATAACTAAAATTAAATTATGAATATTCTGTAACAATTTTTTTTCATTTATTCAGTGTTTTTGAGAAGATACAATCTTCATGAAAAATGTTTATTATATATTATACAATATATAAAATATATATTATTTTCTTTTGGTTTACTTTTTTATTTATTCTTATAATAAACAGTTAAATATATATGAAAAAAAATTAAGCTAAATGTTAACGAATATCATAATATTATCTAATATTCCACACCTGTCTTATACAACACCACCGTATCTTATTAAATTAATTTCATTATTCTTTTATGCTAAAATATCACTATTCTAATGTTAATTACTACCCTTTGACATATTTCTATCGGGTAATAGTTATTTACATTTTTATTTTAACTATTAATTTTAAATTATATTTTTGATAAGTTATTATAATATTATGGTATAACGTAATTTATACCAAACACATTAAAGTTGGAATCTTAAAAATGTGTTTTATTTTAATGACTTAAAACCTATATAAGGGTGGAATATTATTTTTATTTTTTATTTTTTTTATTTAAATTATATTTTTTTTGAAATCCAATTAATATTATTGTACAACAGAAATTATGGGTTTATGGAAGAACAAAATATATTAGTTATGCTTTTGTTAGGATAAATTATTTTTAAATAGACTCATTTTATTTTCAAAATACAATCTTTTGGTATATTATAAGATATTTTTATATTATTTTATAGTTTGATTTATTTATTAAGCTTAGATACATTGTTTAAATTTTATCAGAAAAAAATTAATTCAAATAATAAACACCTGTCGTAATGAAAAATCACTACTGTACAAATTCGAATTTGAATTTAGATTTTAATTTATGAAATTAGTTGTTTGAATTATTTTTTAGATATTTTATATTATATTTTCGTGTATTTGTTTTGAAAATTATTTAATCAAAAAAAAAAAAAAATCGACTATATGATAGTAAGAGTTTAATCTACAGTTTTTTTTTTTAAATATAGAGTAATTATTTTTTCATAAAATTTATAAAATAATCATCTAATAATCCGAAAAGTGTGTTTAAAACTATTTAAAGTGCATGAGTTAATATTTGTTTATTTTTTAATATAATCCAATACCTAAAAATCTGACATAAATAATGTGTTTGTATAATTAATTTGATATGCACTTTGATACTTTCAAAAAAATTTAATATTTTATATATTATTTTTTTTTATTTGGATGTTTTTAAACTAGCCTTAAATTTAATTAATTTATAAGTTTCTTCCTCGATTAACCATGATAAATTACCTTTATTCAGATACGCAATTTAATCACCAAACGTTTTCTATATCGTAATAAAAAACTACTAGATAACCGTCTAATAAGAAAAAAGAATTGAAATTCACTTTTTATAAATAACACTATCAGCATTTAGAAACAAATTATACCTAACTAAATTGTATCTTTTTGTCGTACCAAATGGTATAGTTTAAAAAGCTATATGAAAAATTCTTAGAGATAAGCCTTTGTTTCTGCCTTTTAATGGACGTATTTAAGCAGCGTGTAAAACAGAAAAAAACCAAACTTAATGAAAATAATTTAATTTATAAACCTCTAATTAAAATCATATGAATATACAGCATATCAATTATGAGCTCTGATAAAACATTGGTTTTCAAAAATATTAAAATAACATAATTGTCCTTTCAATTAGAAACAAATAGTTTATGTTAATGTCACAAATCAAGCTTTATACTCATGCCTATAAATTGAAACAATCAAGAATAAATTATAAAATCTTACCCTTACTATACGTATTACAATGACTAGCCAAACATTCAAAAAATCTATTTCAACTAATTTTTGGCAACCCTACCAAGATGAGGAAAAAAATTAGAGACATGAATTAATCATAGCATAATTCTTTTTATTAAAAACCTAAGACTGTCGTTAGTGGGAGGCTTCTACATATTAAAATTCTATCAAAGTTATATCGTCATAATATATATCACATACGCGTATTATACCTAATTTATATAGATTATATTAACCAATTAAGAATTAAAAACAAAAATAAAAATATATTCACCGAAAATATTAATATGCGAGTTGTTGAATTTTTAAAGAATGCCTATGTTACATTCATTTTATAATATAGTTTCCTTTTAAGATGGCTTAAATAAACACCATTGCTCTGTCAATAACTGTGTTACATTCTGTATGTACCCAATAATATGTTAACAGTTTAAATAGGTACCTACATTTTCCCTTGTTTTTACCATGATTTAATACGATTTTGGAGTTGGTAATATATTTTAAACAAAATAGTCTCACTCTGTCATCAACTATAATAAAGTTAATGTACAAACAATAATTTTACAAATGTCATGGAAAGCACACACAATTATATCAAAATCTTGTCGTGCAGTCTGAATGAATAAACTAAGTTTATCAGTGTAAAATATTTACATTGACTTTAACGTTTAATTAGTTACATACTATTCTATAGAGGTAAATATAAATGAGAATTCTTGAAATGATAATAATATTATTTATTGTTTTATAGTA